TTTTTTTTTGGCAAGGCAATTGGGATTAAGTGACTTGCCCAGAGTCACACAGCTAGTAAGTTTTATGTGTCTGAGGTCAGATTTGAACTCAGGGACTCCTGACTTCAAGGCTGGTGCTCTATCCATTGCACCAGTTAGCTGCCCCAGGACTAGTTATTTTTGAGTCAACAGTTTGGGTGACATGGCTGCATTTCTACAAAGGGAACATTGGGTTTGAGGAATGAGGGAAAATAGGGTCTTCCTACTGAGGTGATTGAAGGTACTTTGGGGATCTGTGTGTCCTTAGGATAAAGTAGCCTTTGCCCTAGCTGACTTTTGGGAATTTTCTAGAGTACTCTAGAAGCCATTACCCACTTTTCCATGTCTTTCTGTGTGCAAAATGCCTACGTATTTATGTACCAGTACTTAATAGAAGAGTTAGTCCCTAAAAGTCTCTTACTTCAGAGTAAAACTGAGCTAGGGGATGGCTTCTTCAGGTTCATTTCCAATCCAGTGATCCTTTTAGCTCATCTAACTCATCTGCATGGTATACTTCTCCGTTCACACATCCACAAGAAGCCCAGGTTTCATGGGGTGGTTTTGTAGCAGTTCTTTTTGAATGGCAGGTTAAAGTCTTCCTTTAGGGACAGTTTACTTTTTGGGCTCATGCTCAGGGGCACAGAGCTAAACCACTGGAAGTCTGGGAGTTCTACTTTGGTTGAGTGGCCCTAGAAGTTGCAGCTTGATTCTAGGATTATTCAGTGCAGAACTTTCCAGGGTCAATTCTGGAGCTTGCTCCTACTTCAGTGAAGGGCCTTGAAGGCAGAGTCTGCTGTTCCATTCTGAAGTAAGTTTGAATATGTTGATGCTAGAAATGACTGGACTTCCTTGGACCAAGAAAGGCCCAAGATAAGGCTGGACCTCTAGGAGATTCTCTGGACCAGAGTGGACTCCCCAGACACCCTCTGGTCTGGACCTGCACCTCCAGGTTTGAGGAAGAGTTGAACTGGCAAACAGGAGTGAGAATGTGGGGTCAAGTTTGCTCTGGGATTAGTCCAGTGTGTATCTTCTGTTTTCCAAGTGTTTCCCTCCTCTGGCTTTGCCTTCAAAGCGTGAGTTCCACTTTAAGAGCAATGATCTTGGCCATAGCTCTGGGGCCACCTATCAGCTGTATCTACTGTGGGGAGGAGTAGGAAAAGAGTCCAGTCAGCACTCTCTTACTCGCCATAATCATTCCTTCTGTCACAGCCATGAGGGCCCAGAGGAAGCTGAGCTTTGGAGAGGGGGAGAAAGAGAGGTCAGGTGTACCACAGTATGTCCTCTCTCTTTCATACCTTATTTCATAGGATTCCTTTCTCACTTTAAAAAGAGTCTTCAGTGTTGAACAAAGAGATCAAATTAGACACCTTATGTCAAAGTAATGTGACTGAATAAACTTATTTAGTGAGATACCACTGAGGAGTTTGGGTCATGAAGCTGACACATCATCTCTTCTGAGTTTCCATTAAATATATCAACTGTTTGAGGCTCATGAAGGACAAAACCTGCAAAATTAAGCGTTCTGAGGACAGAGGAATAGAGAATTGGAGGATCAGTTTACTGATGAAGCCAGAGAATAGAGTGGAGAGTAGGGGATTGTGGAAATTGAACTGTGCAAAAAACATACCTTCATTTTAATGGAAGAGGATTGTTTGTAGAGCTCTTAGCTTCAAAGATAGAGCATAGATTTGGAAGGGACCTTAGTAGTCATGAGTCCAACCCACTTTATTTTATAAAGGAGGAAACTGAGACTCAGAGAGGTGAAGTGACGTTATTGGAGTAAGTGTCTGAGGTAGGGTTCAAACCCGGTTCTTCCTGACTTCAAGTCCAGCATTCTATCTACTATACCACATTTAAGCTAGTCCAACCTCCTTATTTTACAGATAAGGAAACAGATCCCGGGAGGTTGTGACTTGCCTAAGGCCCCATATGCAGTGGTGACATTGAACCCAAGCTTTTTGCCTCCAAAGTTAGTGCTTCTTCATTTGTACTGTAGGTAGAATGGGCCGGTCCCTTGAATCCATCCCAATTAAGATCCACGCCCCAGGGTAGTCCAGAGTCTTTTGAATAGTTTGAGGTATGTAGACTATAATCTAGTGCATTAGTTGACAAGGACAGAAGAGCTGTAAGTGTTGGCACAATGCAGTGTCTTCTGAAGGGGAGAGAGGGAGAGACATAAGTAGACAAAGGAGGCAAGAGTGGTGGTGGTCAGGAGGATAGGGGAAATGAAAAGAAACAGGAAAGGTAGGATTGACAATCTTCTGGGAATCTGAATGAGAGTGGCTGAGAGTGGTAAATTGGGTGTATTGGGTGTTGGGAAGTCCAGAGAGCTGCAGAAAGCTGGAAGAGATCAGTGAGCTAAAGGGTAAGATAGAAAAACCCTGTTCATTTAGTGGGGACCTGACTTGATTGTGTTTGCCTTAATGATTAACTTGGCATTAGTGAGATCTGGTGCTCTAATTGCATTTTGGCCTTATCATAAGATTTGATTGTTTATTGTAGTGTTTTTTCCCTTCTATATGGAACAGAAATGAGCCTTGCCAGAATTGGGCAGAGATTTAGAACAGTAAAAATCAGTGGAAGGATTTGGCAGGGTGGGAGAACAGAGGATTCTTCCTTTGTAGAGCTAAACTCCCCCTCTCAGATATGGAGGGAGAGGAGTCACTACTGGGTGGTACAGTGGATACAGCTCTGGGACTTGAGTCAGGAAGACCTAAGTTCAAATCCTTTCTCAAACATTTGCTAGCTGTGTGACTCTAGGCAAGTCATTTAGCCCTTTTTGCCTCAGTTTCCTCATCTGTAAAGTAAGCTGGAGAAGGAAATAGCAAACCAATCCAGCATCTTGTCCAAGAAAAATCCCAAATGGGGTCAGGAAGAGTCATACATGACTGAACAAATTATTTTTTAGTCATTTGTTCATAGCATTGCAGAATTTTGAACTGGACAGAAAAATGGAGATGGGAAGCATAATCCTAGGATGATAGATTTAGAGTTGGAAGGGAGCTTAGAGGCCATCTAATCCATACCTCATTTGATATATTGAAAAAACTGAAGCCTTGAACTGAGCTAGGGACAGCTCTTAAAAGTCTTGGAATATTCAGCTGACTCTGGTGACCTGGAGCTGACAAGTCTACCAGTGTGACTCAGTTTTATCACGTGTATGATAGATGGATTTTGTTTTTTCTTTGGAGCCCACAGGGGAAGGGAGTCCATGACAAGATAATAAGATGGCTCAAGTTTGTCTCCAGAGGGGAATGTATCTACCCTGTGTTAGAGATGGAAAGAACGAGAAAGAGAACCCAAGGAAGGGGAGGGTTGGGGCTGGAACAAATTCTAAGAAACATTTAGCTGGGCTTCAAATCTGCTTTTTCCACCTTTCTTTCCTCCCACATCCTGTATTACTGGAGCCAATGTGCCTGTTGACAATGTGTGGGCTTCTCCCCTTCCTTGACTCTCTTTCATCTGAGGGGTGACCTATGAGATTTAACAAAGCCACAGGAAATAGTGAGGAAGGCAGTGTGGTACAGTGGAAAGTGCCTGGGCAGGGAAACCTGGGTCGGAGGGTGGACTCTGCCAGAGACTAAGTAATTCACTCCTCTGAGCTTTCTTATCTATAAAAATGAAGCATTAGACCTCTGTAGTCCTTACCAGATTCCCTCATGCTAAGATTCTGGAGTTACATCCAGGGAATTGCCTGAGGAATATTTGTAGTTGTTCCCACTGAGATGATTGTTGGACCAGAGATAAAGCCCCTACTTATTCTCGGGGGCCCCTCTCAGCGCCAAGTGTCTCTTTCAACAGAAAAATAAGCAATGGGGCTGGCAGGCACGGGAAGTCTGGCTTAGATTCTAATCCTTGGTCACACGTCCTGACCTGTCGTCTCAGACAGCGGATAAGTCACAACAAGACTATTCTCAGAGAAAGGATCAAGGTTAAAATAACTCAGCAGCAACATAAAAGAGTCAGGACAGAGTCCTTAGAGATGTAGCTGGAGGAAGGGAGAAGCAGCAAAACCTTTTTTCTCTGGTTCTGTGGGCTATGCACATCATCACTAATCTCTTTCCGCCATCTTTTGCCCTCTCCTGTGAATGTGTGTTTAGGCATACTAATAATTAAAGCTAGCATTTATATATATATCACTTTGAGGTCCACAAATCACTTTAGAAATATCTCATTTGATTTTTGTAACAACTCTAGGAGGTGAGTACTATTATTATTTCAATTTTATAGATGAAGAAACTGAGGCATGCATAGGGTAAGGGATTTGCCCAGGGTTACTCAGCTAATAAAAGTGTCCAAGGCTGGATTTGAACTCAGGTCTATCTGACTTTAGGTCTAAAAATCTATACATTGCACTAGCTAGCTGCCTCTACCAATGAGGTATAGTAATTTTTTCATGTATCTGATGAGATATCTGAGTGTATTTGGTATCAGTTTGTCCCAAGTCCTTGATTTAGATGGTAAGTTATATGAGGGCAAAGACATAGCTCCTTACTAGGTAACTCTGTGGTCTCCAGATCAGGATTGTGCACACAAACTCAGCTAATTTTTGGGGTGATAATGATCAAGACCGGTTGGCACCCAGGTCAGAGCCAAAGTCCTTAAGTAGCTCTTGGTCCTATGGGCACCTCTACCCAAAGGCAACTGCTTGGAAATCAACGTCTCCACCCCTTTACTCCCTTGATATGATCATTAACCATGATTTTTTTTTTCCAGGTCTCTTAACCTTCATTAACTGTGCTTATGTCAAGTGGGGAACAATGGTACAGGACATTTTCACCTATGCGAAAGTACTGGCTCTGATTGCAGTCATCATTGCTGGCATTGTCAAAATAGGCCAGGGTAAGAGGCAAAGCTATTCTTGGCAAAGGGGAGGGTGTGGAATGTACTTGGTTGGGTCCGTGCACTTTTCAGGGGCCCTAAGCACCTTGCTACACACTAGGATTTTGCTACCCTTGGGAGCAAGCAAAGGTAAAAATGTGCCTCACTGAATCTCTTCCCTGCCCATTTTCAGATGGTGCAGTGTGTGTGGGTGTGCCCATTTAAATGCTAGATCATTCAGGTAGATATGATGAACTCCTCTTTCTTATCTAGATGATATGTACCATTGCTGGCTGGTCCTGAAAAAAGACCACAAATGCAAATAAATGCAAATGAAAGCACAACTTTAGGACCTTAGTGCATTTCTCCCCCTTTCTGTTCTATTGTGGCCTCTTACCCTCAGCATCCCCACTAATCCCTTAGACCAGACATGTTAAATGTGAGGCCAAGGGCTGTATGAAGCCCACAACACTCCCAAGTGCCCTCTGAACCAAATTAAAATGAATACATTAAAATAAATACAATAAAGCATAGATAATATTAATACGTGGTTTTCTAAGTCAATATGGGGATCCTTATGTACAGTTTAGAGGGCCCTGTTTCTATCTGAGTTTGACACCATCGAATTAAGCTGATCCGCCCCAGATCCTCCCCTATCTTTCCTTTCCTTCTGACCCAGCAGCATGTTGTAGTAAGAAGAGTATTAGATTTGGAGTTAGAAGACCTGGTTTTGAATCTTGGCTCTGCTGCTCACTACGTGCATGGTTTTAGATAAGTCATGTCACAACTCTGGGTCTTTGGTTCCTCATCTGAAAAATGAGGAGCCTATGTCCCTTTCAATTCTAAATCTGGGATCCTAGGAGATTGTCAGCTGTCCCCTTCCTGACCTTTGCCTGGTCATTGTTTTTCATAAGTTTCTGAAGATCTTAGGAATTCATGTTTACTTGCATTGTCTTGATTCTTTCAACTCCTATTCAGAATCACCTTGAAGTTGTTGGACTGTCTTAATATTCCAACCCTACAAAATTTTCTGGATTTTAGGACATGCAACTAACCTGGAGAATTCATTTGAGGGGTCTTCCTTTTCAATGGGAAATATTGCTTTGGCATTGTATTCTGCTCTTTTTTCCTACTCGGGCTGGGACACCCTCAACTATGTCACTGAGGAGATCAAGAATCCTGAAAGGTGGGTACTGTACCAAAGACTTCATATTTATACTTTCCTATTCATTTTTATTTACCCTTTTTTATGTAATATCTAAGATATTTTTATCTACCCTTTGCCCTGCTACTTTTAAGACATTTAGAGTGTATACAAAATCTTACAGACCTTACATGCCTGTTCCTTCTATAGGCTCCAGAATCCTTTCCTTATTTTCCAAATTTGTGCCCATATTGAATTAATCTATTTGTTTGAAAACTTTGAATATTATAAAAATTAAATTTTATTTAAAAAATGAACAAATATTAATATTCTCTTGCCTCCTTCCTAAGTCCCACTGGGGAATAAAAACAAAATTACACAAAACCCTTGTAACAAATATACGTAGTCAAGCAAAACAAATTCCCATATTGGTCATGTCCAAAATGTATGTCTCATTCTGCATATTTAGTCTATCAATTCTCTATAAGGAAGTACATAACATTTTTTCATTACTGTTCCTCTAGAATTATAGCTAATCATTGTGTTGATCAGAATTCACAAGTCTTTCGAAATGCTTTTACAATGTTGTTGCATAAATTGTTCTGTTGATTCTGCTCACTTGACTGCATGAGTTCTTACCAGGTTTCAGAGAAACTGCTCCTTTCATCATTTCTTTTTTAAAAAAAAATTGTACATATTTTAATATATAATTCTGTGTGTACATTTATCTTCCTTTATAAGAATATAAGCTCCATGGGGCAGCTAGGTGGCACAGTGGATAGAGTACTGGCCCTGGATTCAGGAGGACCTGAGTTCAAATCTGGCCTCAGACCAGACACTTGACACTTATTAGTTGTGTGACCCTGGGCAAGTCACTTAACCCCATTGCCTAGCCAAAAAAAGAGAAAAAGAATGTAAGCTCCTAGAGGGCCTGGACTGTTTCATTTATCTTTTCTTAGGGCCTAGCATAGACCTTGACATATAGCAGGCATTTAATTAATGCTTGTTGACTGTATTTTGTAGGATCCCTAGAACAACCCCATGAGGTAGATTTTATTATTATCCTCATTTTACAGCACTGTAAGTTATTGTTGCTCCTGTTTTCTTTTGAACTGCTACAGTATTTAGCTTGGCATTTCTGTGGCTAGGCACCTAGGCAAACAGAAGTCATCATTACTAATGGTGATAACCAAGGAATAGTCAGTATCATCCTAGATTACAGGTTTCACTGCAGTGAACTGAGTATCCTTTCATCATTTCTTAGAGCACAATAGTATTCCATTACATTCATATGCCATAATTTGTTCATCCATTCCCCAAATGATGGGCAACCCCTTAGTTTCTGGTTATTTGCTACCACAGAAAACGATACAGAGGAAGGAAAAAAAAGTCCTAGCCTAAGGAAGCTCACAGTCTAATGGAAGGCACAATATGTAAACAGCTACATATATACAAATAACAGGATAAACTGGAAACACTTTCAGAGGGAAGGCACTAAAACTAAGGAAGAATAGGAAAGGCTTTTTCCAGAAGATGGGACTTGAAGAAAACCAGGGAAGCCAGAACATGGAGATGAGGAGGGATAGAGTGTCAGGTTTGAGGGTCTGCTGGTGAAAATCCAGTTGTGAGATAAAATGTTTTGTGTATCATTAAGTATGTGGAGGGGAGTAAGGTGTAAGAAGACTGGAAAGGTAAGGAGGGGCCAAGTTATGAAGGGCTTTAAAAAAGAGAGGATTTTATCCTGGAGGTAATAGGTGCTACCGGGAGTATATGTGTGGGAAGGAGTGACATGATCAGATCTCAGGTTTCGGAAGATCAATTTGACAGCTGAAGAGAGGATAGACTGGAATAGGGAAGAGATCTGAGTCAGGGAAACCAACTAGTAGGCTACTGCAATAGTACTGGCATCAGGTGATGAGGGCCTCCAGGGTAGTGATGATGTCAGAGACGGAGGCATGTATGAGGTATAGGACTTTGCAACAGATTGGATGTATGTGGGGGTGGGTAGGGTGAGAGTCAGGAGTTTAAGATGACACCTAGGTTTCATGCCTGGGTGACTAGGAAGATGGTGGTACTCTTGGCAGTAACAGGAAAATTAGTAACTGCTTTATGTATTTTTGTACATATAAAACCTTTTCTTATTTTTTTGATCTCTGGGAAATATGCCTTGTAGCAGTAGTACTGAAAACGCCCAATTTGCCCCAAGTCTGAACAGTCAATATTTCAGTCAAAAGAGGTGAATGAATTGATGGCCAACCTGATGAAACAGAAGCTGGAGGTGCAGAGGAGGAAGGAAATAAGCAGAGGATGGGCACATTTTTGAACATTTTGGAGTTGCAAATAACATGGTTCTCATGCAAAATAATATATGCAAATTAGGTCATTATTTTTTGAGAAACCAACAAGGTGGCCTTTTAATGAAAGATAAGAGCTTGATTAGGGAGCAGTTAGTAGAAACAAGCTGGATTCAGGCTGGAATGATGTTTCCACCTGCTGGACAGAACTGGAATGACTAAGAAATGCCATCTGGCATTTGAGGAGTGTCCTCAATAGCCTTGTTGGTCTAGAAGGGACCTTGAAAGACCATTTAGTCAATCCCCTAGATGCTAGTTAGAGGAGTATGTAAACTGGTTAGGATGGATTGCTCTCTCTCTTGTTCTTAACAGCTCTCCGTAGGACATTTTAGAGCCTTCCTATATTATATGTACTAAGGCTTCACAATCCAGATTGTTAGGAAATGTCTTCTGTTTTGTGCCCTGGGGAAGGTATTCTTATTAGCGGATTGGACATATTAGGCTCTGGGTAAATGGCTTCTACCTTCCTGCACTGTTACCTTGTAGTCTGGCCCTTTCTCTATTAACCACATTTTCTTTTCTTACGAGCAACTCTTCCCTCTCATTTATGTATAGCAAAGGGTTTTTCTTTCTTTAGTAGTAGCACTGCTTCCTTAATTTTTTTATCTTCAGTTCCAAATTCTTTCCCTCCCTCCACCCCTTCTCTACCCATTGAAAAGGCAAGAAATACAATACCCATTATACATATGAAGCCATGCAAAACATATTTTCACTTTAGTGATGTTGCAAAAAAAAAAAAAAGCACAAGAAAAATAGAGAAAAACTGTTTCAACCTGTACTCTGGAGTCCATCAATTCTCTATCTACAGTGGAGGTTTAATGGCACCTTTAATCATGCTCTTTAATCATGAATACATTTAGAATTATTAGAACAGAATTAGGTCCTCATGACATTTATACAGGGCTTTATGGTTACAAAGTGCTATGTACAGAACTTCTCTCTAGGAGAGTGTAAACTCCTTGAAGACAGGGACTGTGCTTGTATCCTTAGTGCCTAGCCCAGAGCCTGATATATAGGTGCTTAATAAATGCTTGCCGAATGAATGCTCTTTTACTAACAGAATCTCAGGTACAAAAGCAAGCCATCCTACTGTTCCTGGGAAAGATTGAAGTGGTTGGCGGAGATTAATCATGTACAGGGGGATGGGACTAACTTCTATCCTTTCTTCTCTGACTGTAGGAACTTGCCCCTCTCCATTGGCATTTCTATGCCCATTGTCACCATTATCTACATTTTGACCAATGTGGCCTATTACACTGTGCTGAGCATGAAGGACATCATAGACAGTGATGCTGTTGCTGTGGTAAAGGATTGTGGCTATCAAGAGGGCGAGGAGGGGAGATGGGTCCCTGTCCCTGTAAGCCTTGATGGAGGACCTCAGAAATACAGTTGGGGAGGGGGTTACCTCAGATTTAGGGAGAAAGCATGAGGTTCCTGGGGTGGGATGGAACAATACCTTGATTTTCATATAATAAACATTCTCTTTTCCCACTACTTTTTTCCCTACTCCTCACCCCATGTAGACTTTTGCTGACAGAATTTTTGGAGTGTTCAACTGGACAATTCCCTTGGCTGTTGCCTTATCCTGTTTTGGGGGTCTCAATGCTTCCATTGTGGCTGCTTCTAGGTAAGACTGGGTGTTCTTTTGGGATACCATGGTTACTGAGGAAAACTGCAAGGGATAGAGAGATGGGATGACTTAGGGGGCCCAGTCAGCTACAGTATTCTTTTGGCCTTGTGATAAGCCTGTTAGCTTTTGCAACTTTGCCATCCTGATCCCACTATTCAGCTTCCAGCTCTCCTTGTACACGGATGACAATCCATAAGTTTCGATTTTTACCCCACCTCAGCCTCCTCTCTATCTGAAACAGACTCTTTTTTGTGGGCTCACGAGAAGGCCACCTCCCTGATGCTATCTGCATGATTCATGTTGAAAGGTTTACTCCAGTGCCATCCCTGCTCTTCAATGTAAGTGTTCCCCTAAATGATGGGTTGGTTGTTAATGGAGGGAGTATTAAAAGCACTGTCCAGGGTGAGGTTGGGTCCAGTCCTTGGGAGTTCCGGGGTTTGTGTATTGTAGGGAGCCATGGCACTCGTCTACTTGTGTGTGGAGGACATCTTCCAGCTCATCAACTACTACAGCTTCAGCTACTGGTTCTTTGTGGGTCTCTCTATCGTGGGGCAGCTCTACTTACGCTGGAAGGAACCTGACCGATACCGACCCCTCAAGGTGATTGATATTACTGTTTCTATGAAACATCTAGAATGCTAATAAGAGAACTTTGAGCCAGAGGGACAGATTTTCCAGCATTGTTCAGGGGCAGGTGGGAATCTAGACACAAGAAACCTCATGGGAGGGAAACTTGAGGGTTCATACAAGGATAATAATAATTTAAAAAAAAAAAAAAGGAAAACATTGATGACCTCACTAGGTGATAGCCATCACCATCTTCCTTAGGACACCAGGTTGTGATGGTAACTTTAAGCTGTCTAATCTCAAGTTATATTCTACTTTCCATTTGCAGCTCAGTTTGATCTTCCCCATCATCTTCTGCCTTTGTACCATCTTTCTGGTGGCCGTCCCTCTTTACAGTGATACCATCAACTCCCTTATTGGCATTGGCATTGCCCTCTCGGGCCTACCCTTTTACTTCTTCTTCGTCAGAATGCCGGAACACAAACAGCCATACTGCCTCCGAAGGACTGTGGGTGAGTCCTGGGGGACCACTGACCCTGATTTTGAAGTTTGTCCTCTTGTTCTGTAAGATGAAGGTCTCACTTACTTCTAATTCTCCAGCCTTCAGGGAAGTTACTAACTGCCGTTTGATGTAATCCTCCTGGTCTCAAGTTCTTCCTCCCCCAACCACCACATAATCCCTCCTCTTTTATGAGTTATTCTCTCTCTTCTTTGCAGCACTGGCCACAAAATACATCCAGGTCCTGTGCATGTCAGTTGCTGCAGAGATGGATCTGGAAGATGTGGGAGAGATGCCCAAGCAACAGGACCCCAAGTCCAACTAATCAACAACCTGACCTCTCCCCTAATGAGACATTAAGGGCAGGGAATTTCCTTTTCCCACTGACCAGGGTCAGAGGGGATAGGATCCTTTCTTGAAGACAACTTACCAAGTTGAGACCTGGCTTTGGGACAGTTTTAGGAACCTTTTGAACTTATTCTTTGAGAAGTTGAGAATAATTTATTGTTTTTGTTACTTCTTGTTCCAGGTTTTTAAATGAAAGGTTGGGGGTGGGAAGAAGCATGCCTTGGGCTTGGTCCTCAGGAGAATGAGGAGGAGGAGCAGGTACCTATGTGCCCAAAATATTCACTAGCTGAATTCTGCACCACCTTCCCATCCCTCTTTCCCATTGAAGGCTTAGCAGTGCTCCTGGCCTCCTATCTGCATCAGGGAGGAACCTACTAAAGGGGCAGAGGGCATTTATAGGATCATCTTGGATAACAATAAAAGGGATGACACTTGCCTCTTTATTTGCACTGTCAGGTTTTCTCTTGGGATAGCCTTGGCTCTGATTTTCACAGATTGTGATATAGCTGGGAAAAAAATCTTGATGCTCTAGAATCATTCCCCAGGTACTCCTTTCCTTCCAACCTTAAACCCATGTTGTTTTGTACAGTCAGATGAAATTGTTTCAAATGGGACTCAAAGGGAGTTAAATTATTGAATGATAAAATGTTGATTCAAAAACTGATTTCTACCTCCACTGAGATCAAACATGCAAATAATAATCAGGGGCCTACAACCCAAGTGGCAAAAAAAAATATTTACTCTTATTAATATTTATTTAGACCCACTATCTGAAAAATACAGATGGGGTCTTCTTAGAGCCATGCCTTGTTATGTGTTGTAGGTAGAGATAAGGGAAGTGTGAGGTATTGGGAAGGCTGCTGGACCTAGAAACAGAAGACCTTGGTTCTTGTCCTAGCTCTGACTCTAATAAGCTGTATGATCATGAGTCCATTTCCTCATTTGTAATAAATGCAAAATCTGAGTGAATTATCTCTCAGAGGTGGGGTGAAAGTGTAGCTACACAGACATGAGCTATACTGCCTTTCTCAACCAACTTGGGCATATACTTCAAGTAAAGGTGACTATTTGGCTGGAAAGACTTTATATGAATGTATATGGAATAAATATAAATATGGGCTGGGAAGTTTGGTTTTTTGTTTTTTAAACCTATGTGATAACAAAGGTTGTATTTGGCCCAGTTTTGCCGCTTTGATGTCCTACGCTCTGTCAAATACTACCCTTTACCCTATTCACTACTGAGGAGGAATCAGGAAATACCATATGAATACAGAAGTTTATTACCTTCCCAGAGAAGAGTACATGGCTCAGATGCTTGCTATGCATATACCACTGAAAACCTTCCCATATCCACTTTGTGTGTTGGTCTATCAAGAGTCTGTGGCATTGAACACTTGTGAGAATGAATGTCATCACATTGCCACTGCTCCTAGGATCAGGGTAGGGAGTTACTGTCCAGATTTTGCTCTCAGAACTCTGAGGCTCTTGGTAATGAAAGTTCTCTGGTATGTTAATGCTAAGTACACAGGTCATCCAAGAGTATCCTTCCAGGGCTTCTGTGACTTTGGTTTGCTGCTGGTAGTAACAGGAGAAGGCTGTTTTCCTTCAGGCTGTAGCAGGGGATTATGGGTGAAGGTCTGTCGTAAGGGGCCTAGGGAAGAAGAGAGAAAACAGCTAAGCAGGGAGAGAAAAGAGAAGCAGAGGCCAAGACATGGTCTAGAATCCCTGCAAATTAAGAAAAACGATTCACCTCGAGCTGCCAGCTGCAGGTGATCCCGCATGCGACGCTCCCTCTCCTTTAGCTGGTGAGCTGTCTGGGCGTTTTTCCAGCCTGTGGGAGAAGCAATAAGCTAAGAGTCAGCATTTAGTTCTCTCCTCTAATCACTTCCCTCCAGCAATACCCCTTCCCTAGAACACAAGCCATACCTGTTTTGAGGCTCTTAATGAGGCCCTCCTGCGTAGGCAACTGGCTTGGCTCATGTATGATTCGCTTTGGAATGCGCAGCCAAGTGCGAACAGCTGGGATCTGAAGGAATCCCACTTGGGCCAGCGAGAAGAGGTTGGAAGAGAACCAGTATGTGAACACAGCCTGGGAACAGAGCATAGGACTTTTAGGAGCTCTCTCTCTAGTGTAAGAGGCAGCACAGCAGAGTTTAGGGCAGGCAGATAGAGAAGGGCACAGCCTCCTCAGTTTGACATACCGTGGGGAAATGGATGGTGAAGGGCAAGACAACCAGGGGTAGCACCCGGAAGACGGTTTTCATCATACGCAGGTTGGCATTGTTGACACCAGTTTCAGCACCAAGCTATCAATAAGGAAATAGCCAATGTAAAGGAGAGAGGCAAGGGATGACAGAAAAAGAAGCAGAGACAAGAAAACGAAAGAAGTGAAAGATAAGGAAGAGGTAAGAAATCAACATGAAAAAAGCTACATGTATTTTCATGCCGTACTATACTTTTAGAGGAATAATCCTATAACATGTCATAACCACACACCACTGTTAACATTAGGGAGCTGACCAGAGTAGGCTAACCATTCCAATGAAGCCAACCATAACCCTAAACAGTCTGCCTGATGTGTAGGGGTAGGCCTGTATTGAAAGGCTAATGGTCCATAGCTGAATTGATGAGTCACATACCTACTCCTCTTATCTCCAACTCCTACTCTTAGCTTCCTAAGAATTTTTTTTAGCTTTACAGTTTACTGTGGTTTCTCAGAATTTAGTTTGTATTACTACCTGTACTTGGAAAACCAGTTTCCCAGAAGAATCCAAGCTTACCTCCAGGATTGCCCACATCGATGCTGTGACTAACAAGGGTAGTGCATAGACAGGGTCAGCTGCTGTGAGATCCTGAAACCACCAGAGACCCCCACTCTGCATGCTGGGCACAGGGTGATAGGCCATCTCTCTCAGTGCAATGAAGAAAGAGATGAAGACAGGAGCCTAGAGCACAGGGTAGACAGATGTCAGTTGGAGGAATAACTCCTTGTTGCCTCTTGATGGGAGTCCCACAATGTACTAAGAAGAAGCCAACACAGAATCTTAACCAGAATCTTAAGAGGATGGAGAATGGGAAATAGATAGGAAAGGAGTCCCAGAAGCCTAGAAGAACAGTACAGCTACTCACCTGGGCAAGGGGAATAATGAATCCTCTCATAGGGTTCACATCATGTTTCTTTTGGTAGAGCTGTAGATCTGAAAAGGCCCTGGAAACTGTGACCAGAAGAGGTAAGGCAAGTTAACAATGGGCTGCCAGAGCAGGGAAATATCTCCCTTACCACTTAACTCACACATCTCCCAACCCTCAAATTTCAAATTCACTGGGAGTGAATGAGCATCCAGGACTTGCCCCAACTCCAACAATGCTCCACAAGACCTTCAGTGACTGCTGAGGCTTGCTTACATTTCCACAGCAAAATGTGCAAAATGCCAGGTAGAGTTCAAAGATGCTTTCTTCCCACCCTTAACCCTTCATTGACTCACATTCAAATTTGTCCCCTGACAACTTGGCCTCGTTCATCCGAGCGGTAAATTTGTGGATCTCCGGCACGTGGTTATTGATCTTTACTGCCTCCCGTTGGCCTTTCACAATGAGGGGGAAAATGAGGCATCTTGCAACAACAGTGCCTAGGAAACACAAATCAAAGACAGATGTGAATTTGTATATAGCCTAATGAGGTCCCTACAGGAAGAACCACCTCATCCTAACCTATTTCCACCATAACTCATATGAAGGGCATAGGACACAGAAAATATCTGGACTTAAGTTACTTCCAAAGCTCTGCTGTTCAATCAGGAAGCCTAATATTAATTTTTGTAAGGTACGTAGGTATCTGGAAATCTGAGTTCAGTCATTGATAGAGTGAGAGGGGAGCATTTACTGATGGCTTACTGTTTTAATATCTTGTTTCCCTACCCATTCTGCATGACCAGCTACCCAGCAATTTGGACCAAGGTTCTTCCCCTCTGGCCCAGTGATCATGATAATAGTTTCAGGGCATTTTGTTCTAACACTCTCCTACATTCAAATATTCAAAAGCCTTTCTCTAAGAATACTTTTTACTATCTCACTTCTTTCCATCCTACCTACCTCTCACCACCATCCTTGGGCCTGAGGATCCTTTATGAATTGCAGATCACACACTGATTTCATAAAGCCACTTTGAGAAACAGTGCATTCAAATCTTTGGAGCCTGTATTCTTACCTAAGTCACTTCTCTTGAAGCCCTACCATCTTGTTCCTCACTTGAGGTTATGATCCCCAAGACCCTGCTTAATCAGGCTCTACCATTCTAATCCTCTTCTGCCTGTAAGCCCCTATTCCCAAGCTATTGCTTCCCCAACTTCAAAAGTCTTGTTCCCCTTACATGTAACAATGGCTCCCCACCATGGTAGGCCCAGATCAACGTGCACAAATTCCAGAAGGTTCTGCACCAGTCCCACTGGGGTGTAGCCTCCTAGTCCCAGGTCACTGAGGCTCTGCTCTGCGGCAGCCTGGACTACATCAGCAGCTCCACCTGGAACCACTTCTGTCATTGATGTTGGAGAAGGGGTTGAAGGGAGAATGGGAGAGGTCTGCATCTGTTAAAAGAAAAGAAACACAGTATGGTGAAGAGCCTCGTGGGAAAGTATTAGGCACCTGTCTAGATAGAGAGGTGGGAGACAGTAGATTTGGAGCAATATATCTGTTTTGTTTTTCAGACATGGTCAAACCAATATATTTATTTGTTTTGCTTGACACTGCTTTTAAGGGGCTTGTTGGGGTGTGTGTGTGTGACATGGAGTCATTATAAGTGATATAAAAAATGAAATAATATGAATAATAATGAAATTATATAAAAAATAAAATATTTAAAAAGGAAAAACAAATAGCAAAGAATCTCCAGGGGTCTCTCCTTGTGCCTTCATATTATGAGGTAACATCTTTATCCACTTGATTCTCTAACTCCCCATTCTTCCAACACTGCCCATAATTTGCACAGAATCTCTAGGATAAGGGGTGGGGAGTGGTCTTATCAGTACCTAAGTCATCTAGTAAGTAAGAATCTGTAAACTTTTTTCCCACATTATATATAAAACCTAAATCTTTCTTGTTATAACTACAGTTCATTTTTTTTTTAATGGAAAACCCAGGTCATTCCTCCAAGCTGAACTCCTACAATTATTTCATCAGTAATTTGCTAATTTACAAAGCACTTTCCTCATCATAAACCTGTGAGGAATGTGGGGCCAGTATCACCATTCCCTTTTTCCAGATGGGGAAAACTGTGTCTTAAAGGGGTGAAAAAAATCTAATGACAATCATTAAACCCAAAACTCAAATCCAGGTATTAAAAAAAACCCAAATAAATCATATGCTTCTATAAAATAAGAGGACTGAACTAATTATTCTCTAAGGGCCTTTCTAATGTTAATGTTCTTTGACACTCATACCATGCTCTACCATCCCACGTAACCTTGACTTTGTTTTTAAAAGGTTTGATATCTTTTGTTTTGATCAAATGAGATGACATGTAAATTGCTTTGTAAATCTCAAAGCACTATACAAATGCTAGTTATTATTATTTTTACATCAATGACTAAAAAATTTTTCTTTTTCCACTCCCAGAGTGCTATCTCTTATAACAAAGAATAAAAGAGGAAAAAGAATTTAGTAAAACTAACCAACATATCAACCAAATTCAACATCATACATAGTATTCAATAACCATAGTCCTGTCAGGTCACTTCTAGATCTAAACATACTCCTACGACTTTTGCAAAGGGAGGTTAGTATATTTTTATATCTCTTTGGGGCCAAACTTCATTATTAAAATTTCATAACATTGAGTTTTGATCATTTGTTCTTTCCATTTACATTTTCATAATCACTGTGTATATTATTTTCCTGTTTCTGCTCACTTCACTTTGCATCAGTTCATATAAGTTTTCCATATCTCCCTATATGAATTCTATCCACTGCTTCTCAAAACATTCCATTCCATTCATGTACTAGAATTCTTTTCTTTTCTTCTTTTGCCATTCTTCAATCAAAGGGCATCTATTCTGTTAGTAGTACTTTGATGATATTTCGGACACTTTAGTCTCTTACCTGGCTTTCTGCAAACAGGGCAGTGGATGTGCTGAGGCACCGTGGGGTTGGGCCCAGATTGTAGACACCAGCAGACACTTTCCACCTTTGTCTGGTTGGGAACAGGCAGCCAGATGGTTGTTTCCATTGTGGTCCATGAAGCCAGTATGAGTGCAGGGAGACACTGTGAAACTGAAGTAGGGAAATGACAAATAAGATGACCCATCATTCATTGCAGACAGGCCATATATAGCGTTGTGGGTTGGAGGTGCCTATCCTCATGATATTAACATTACTTATAATTAATTATCTATTAATTATAAATAACAAATAAAAATATGATTTTATTATATTTACAAATATAATATACACATAATAAATAAAACATATAGTATATAAATAAAAATAATTAATGTTACTGATTTTTATATTTGTATGCTTTACAGTTTTCAAAGCGCTTCAATACACAGTAACACATCTGGTCCTCAAAGGACCCTGCGGTGAAACAAGTAAAGCATAATTATCACTACTCTCATTTTACAGGAGAGAAAACATGGGCTCAGAAAGATTAAGTAATTTGCTCAAGGTCACCCTGCAAGAGTAGCTGTGGCAGGACTTGAATTCTGGTCTCCTGGCTCTGACGTCTGATTCTTTCCAAGAAAACCCGAACCACAAAGGAGGCCAGCGGTCACCCGGTACAGCACTGACAGGTCAGAGGTCAAGACTTTCGAACCCCTCCATGGAGAGACTAAGCAGCTAGATACCACCCCTATTCGGGGGTCCGAAGTCACCAGGGCTCTCAGCACAGGCTGGGCTTGCCCACTTTTAGGTAGTGTGACCGTGTCCTGACCTAAAGGGGGCTGTACCTGACGCCGAGGCCGTAACAGGCGAAGAATCTCCAGGTTCCCACACATCCGTCGCGCCGCCATCTTCCCGGGCAGAGGAAGCGATGTTGCGCTTGCGCACTGACGGCAATCTTCACGCGAGAGGCCGCCCTTTTAGTTGTGGTCAGGAAGTCAGAGGAGTCTCCACAGACTGAGTCATCATACAAAATAGAGGGGAGCCGCCATCTTTGATACTGGTAAGAAGACTCGATGGACGAGGATACGTCAGGTGGCGATCGCCTTGGTTACGGACTAGAAGCGGGGTTCTCCTTTTGGCCTGGCGTCTTTGGCAAGGAGCAGTTTATGTGGCGCGGGACTAGCTGTCTCTCCGCGTTGAAGCCGCTGCCCGGCATATTGGCCTCTTGATGTAACCCCGGGAGTAGTGGTGGGGCTATCTAAGGATCCGCCTGATATCTGTACTCCCTTGGGCGTGTCTGAAGACTCTGGGCGGGCAGAGATAATAATCCCACCGCTCTTGAGTGTGAAAAGCTTTTCCCACCACCCCAGGGGTGGGTGAGTCTTCGGCCCAGCGTTACTATTCGGTTCGAAAACTTTTTGGACCTAGCACCCTTCCCCCTAAAAGCTTTTGTTTATGTGGGCTGTATCTATCAATGTTTATTGAATTAGATATTAAAACAAATTTAAAACATTATTTCATTAAAATACTAATAAACCCATTACATATTAACATACATAATCTTTTTTTTTTAATAATCGTTTTCCAAAACAAAAAAAATAGAAGAGAGGCATTTTATGTATTTTTGCAAATCTTTTTTAATATCTGGCTTAGAAGACAGTTGGTTTGATTCTCCTATCTGCTTCTTCATTCCCTGACTTAAGAAAGGAAAAACCCTGGACTTTCCCTCCGGATTTCATCTGAGGCTATAATCCCATCAACTGGCCTTTAGTTATTGCCTACACCCAATCTCCCAATTTTGTTAGCCTTAACCTAGCCTAGCCCTCCATTGTTTTACCCAGGCCACTTCCCACCCTTAATTCTATCTAGATTCCATTCTCCCTTAGATCCCTAGATTTCTTCCTTCCTCTTTCTGTTTATAAGGTTCATCTTGTCTCCATTAAGATGCTCAGATTCTTAAGACTAGCCAAAAGCTCAGATTCCTTAAGAACCTAGCCAATAGCTCACAAATGTTCAGATTCCTTGAGAGTCAGGCCAATGTGGCAGATCTTTAATAAACCTTGTCTCTGGCTGAAAGAATGCTTGGGTGGAATTCATTCAGGCAGCACCCCTGAGTCGTGATTTTGGGGTCCCCGCACCTCTAAACCTCTAGACCTTATCACTCTTACTAGATGCTGTTTTAATCAACTGTGTAAAGAAAATCTGTCCTCACAGAGATAGGTAGTTGGAAAATGGAGGAGAATTTTAAGAGGCAAATAACAGCTCAGAATTGTTAAGAACATAGTTCTGACCTTTTGGAACTCCAGAAAGGATCTTGGGAACCCACCCCCAAGGTGTCTGTGGAGCACACTTTGAGCACCAGTGGCCTAACTCAATCTCACAGTCTTGGGGTAAATAAAACAACACAATGCAATACAGTACTACCGCAAACCTCAGAAATGATCATCATGACATTAAAAAATTCTAGACGATAATAACTAGCATTTTTGTGTGCTTTAAGGTTTGCAAAGATCTTTAAAAACATTTCATTCTCAACAACCTAGAAAGGAGAAAACTGAAGCAGATTCAGCTAAGTGACTTGTCCATGGTCACACAGCTAATAAAATGTCTGAGGCAAAATTTGAACTCAGGTTTTTCTGACTCCATGTTCAGTTCTCCATCCACTGCATTACCTAGTTGCCTTGGATTTTCCAAGTCATTAAGGAAAAGCCAGTAGTATAAAACAAATTCTGGGCACTGTGTATCCTACATACTATTTGTAGCTTTTAAAAAAAAATTGGTATCTTTTGTTTTTAGGTCACAGATTTACCCCTATAAATCTCCTCTCTTCTCCCAGAGGGAATTCTGTTATAATCTTTATAACAAAACTTTTTTAAAAAAAGAAGTAAAAGAAGAAAAAGAAAAAAAACCCCAGTAAAATTGATCATCATATCAAAAAGATCTGACATTATGTGTAATGTTCCTCACCCCTAGGCTCCAACCTCTGCAAAAGGAGGAGGTGGCATCACATATCTCTTCTTTAAGACAAAGGGCATTAAAAGGAAGGATCAACTGAATGAACCAGAGAATCTCAGAGTTGGAAGGATCTTTAGAGACCATTTAGTACAATTCATATCTCAACAAGAATCCTTTCTTTTTAATATCTCTGACTAGTAATCATCTATACAGCTTTTACTTGAAAGACTTTTCACCTCATGTAGCCTATTACACTTTTGGATAGCTTTAATTGTTAGGAAGTTTTTCTTTATTTTAAACTTAAGATAATAGATCATGGATCCAGAGCTGGCATCTAGTCTAAACCTCCCATTTTAGAGAAGAGGAAACTGAGGTTAAGGGAGGTTAAGTTACTTGCCCAAGGTCACATAAGTATGAAACATCAAAGGTGGGATTTGAACCCCCAGCTCTCTGACTCCTAAACCAGTGATTTTCCTACTCTTTTAAAAGCATTTTAAAATTTGCTGCTCTTTTAAAAAAGTAAAACATTGCTGTGAAGTTCAAATGACTCCTTTCCTCTCTTCCCTCCCCCCATCTTGCCCTGTAACAAATAAGTAGTTAAGCAAAACAAATCAGCACATTGGGTTGTTGCCAAGATATGTCTCATTCCACACCCATATTTCACTGCTTCTTGATGACAAGTGAGATATGTGTTTTATCATCAAACCTCTGAAGTTATGATCAGACACTTCATTGATCAGATCTCTGAAGTCTTTCAGTTTTGTTTTCTAGAGGTTAATCTTCCAATAAATTGTCACGGTTTTAAGGAGCTTCCTGAGTTTCTGAACTCCCAATCTCTTTTGCTCTCCTCTACAAATGAATGGGAGGGGGACATCCTCAGGAACAACACTAAATCCAGGGTTTTCCCTGTCTTCCCTCTGTCTAGCTACATTCCTAGCCTTTCCAGCAAACCTTGGCAGGCTTTGAGACTGCCTAATCAATCCCACAATATGCCCATATGTATTATTATCTAGTCCCTCCATCCTGTCCACAAGGATATTGTGAAAGCTGTTTAAAAATGGTTTTCTGACATCCATGTATACATATATGTATATGTGTATATATGTGTATGTGTGTATATATGTATATATATATATTCTTCCCCTTATCTATTAGTCTGTAATCTTTAATATCAAGAAGGAAAGTGAGGTTAGTCTAACATGATTTATTTTTTTATTTTTTTATTTTTTTAAGGCAATTGGGGTTAAATGACTTGACCAGGGTCACACAGCTAGTAAATGTCAAGTGTTTGGTCTGAGGCCGGATTTGAACTCAGGTCCTTCTGACTTCAGGGCCGGTGCTTTATCCACTGTGCCACCTAGCTGCCCCTTGATTTATTTTTAAAAATCTTATTTTTATTGATATCTTTTATTTTTCCATCACTTTCTTTTCTGAATGTTTCTTCCCTCCACCCATCCCCAGTCTCTTGTAACTAACATTAAAAAGGAGAAAAAAAATTAGATCAGCAAAAGCAACTAAGACATTAACTATATCTGATTGACAGTATACTATACACAATATTATATACCCATAGTGCCACCCCCCCCCTCAGAAAGGGAACTTAGAAGAGTGGAGTCTAAAAACAGCTCTCCAAGCTGGTGGTAATATTACTTAGGGCCTCTCATTTACTTTTGCTTAGGCTTTCAGTTCTCTCTGCCTTCACAACCTTGGCCAGGTTGGAGATTTGCAGAGATAAAGACAGACAAGAAAAGGAAGGAAATTTTTTTCCTGGTTTGTAGAAATTCATGGCATTACAAGCTAATTAGAGACTAAAATTGTGACTGAAATATGATATCTTCACTATAAATTTCCAAATTATGGTAACTGCTCAAACACCTTAGTGGATTTTGGAGGTTTGCAGCTAGGATTAAAATTAAGGGCAAAAAGCCCCTTACCTCTCTTCCCTTCCTGGAGGTCAATAGATGTGTTGTTCTAGTAGAAGTTGATTTCACTCATTTAGAGAATAAGCAGAAATGAAGCTAGTGTGAAATGATTCAACATATTTCAATTGTGTAGGCAAATTAGTAGCAAAGTCACCTAAATTGAAATAGGTGAAATGTGAGATTAGAATATGATTAAGAAGCAATATGAGATGGACTTAAGAAAATAATGTAGGTAAAGAGAAGTGAGGAATCAGAGTGAAAAATGAAAGGTTAGTTTCAAAGTTGATAAGCTTTAATTAAAGTCCACTGCAGGGATATAAAAGGAAAAGGAAGATAGAAAGGTTTTGTTTTTTTTTATTTTTTGGTTTCTATTTTTTGCTAGGCAATGGGGTTAAGTGACTTGCCCAGGGTCACACAGCTAGTAAGTATAAAGTATCTGAGGTCATATTTGAACTCTAGTCCTCCTGACTCTAAGGCCAGAGCTCTATCCACTTCACTATCTACCTGCCCCAGAGAGAAATTTTAAGAAGAGATTTGAGAATGGTTTGATTCCATTGAGATAAGAAAGATTGGAGAAACTTTTAGAGAAATTGCCTGTTAGCATTTTCAGGTAGACAGTATTCTCTTCTTGAAAGACCATTCCAAGGGTGGATCCCAGTCTTTAGAACTGTGAGCTCCAAAGGTGGGGTATGGGGATGTGAGCCTGCCATAGCAAACCCTTCCCTATCCTTCACCTTGGTCTTCTTAGGGTTAAAACTGCAAAGAATAATAGGAGGTTGGAGAAATGTGAAGTGAAAACTTTATCCACTCTCTTAAAGTATCTGGGTGGGGTTAGGTTAGGATACAAAGGAATTGATTTCGCTCATTGGGCAGTTTTAAAGGTTAGGAGGAGATGAGAATGCCGCCAATTTTTTTTTTTGAATGTGAGCTAACTGAAAACAGTGAGCCCAGAAATTTAAGGTGATGGTGGCAGCTAATGGACTTTGGGAAAACTGAGATTTTGAATGTTGCCATTAATGATTATAAATTCAGATTTTATTTGGTTGAAGTTTGTTCTGACTATAAATCTTAAT